CTGCGAGCTACAAGAATGTGCAATTATTAGGTGGTCTCTAGCACAAAAAAGGCTGAGTTCCAAATGCTCCTTCTTACATTTTTTTCCCTTGAATTTTGACCTGATTTTTCCATAGAAACAATATGATATAACATAGTTATGGACCATGTCAGGCTACTGCAAAATGCATACTTAGCACTCTACAAAGTATACTCAAAGTTTTAAAAGTACTGGTCTGAAGTCTGGATCTTAGAAATTGGGATCATAGGAAGAGAAAGAATGAAGAGACCAAAAAGTATCTTGCTACTCATCACAGTTCCCATCACAGCCACAATTATGAAAGAGGAAAACTGTGTCTGCACTGAGGTCTTCAGTGGCCTTAACTTAATTTTTGCCCCTTCTCACTAGAATAACCTTCTTAGATATGTCCTATTCCTCAAGAATAAGCCACACTATAAAAATATCTACTATTTATTTCTCTTAATAATCATAACTTTCTTAGTTGTCTCTAGAATGTATTAAGAAGAGAGCAATCTGATTGGACTGACTCATACTAATATGTAAACAACTGATATGTACATCACCTATACATACAACACACACACACACACACACACACACACACACACACACAGAATTACATTGCTTATGTGATAGCTAACCACCATTCTAAGAGCTGGTGATATGATATAGAGAAAAAAAGAACAAGGTTTCTGCTCCCATGAAGCTTACATTTTACTGGGGAGAATTAGACAATAATAACATTCAAGCATAAATAAATAAAAAAAAATACAGAAAGTAATGAATACTCTACAGAAAACAGAGGGAGGTAATACACGCTAACTGGGTGACCACTCACATTTCATGGTTAGAAAAGGCCTCTTTGAAGATATCATTTAAGGTGAGATATAACTGAAGACCAAGAGCCAGTCTTGTGTAAATGAAGGGAGAATCATTTCCGATAGCTAGTGCAACCCCGAGAAAGGAGTGAACTTGGTGCACGGAGGACAGAAAATAGGCCAGTGGGCCCAAAGGCCAGTGGGCAAGGAGAAGAACTGAATGAAAAGATAGGCAGGGACCAAATCATAAAGGTCTCTGAAGGTCAGAGTGATGCTTTGGAGTTTATCCTATGCGGAATAAGCCATTGGAAGACTGTGGTCTCATTTATATCTTAAAACGATCTCTAGCAGAAGCAGGGAGAATGACAGGAGGCTACTGCAGGGGTCTAGGTGGCAGAGAATGAATGGCTGTGTAGACTAGGATGGTGGCGGTGGAACGAGAGCTAAGTGGGCCTGATCAAGACATACTTTAGAGGAAAGATGTGCAGGACTTATAAATAGATTGAACAGGGAAAGGAGGAAAAAGGAATCATGGATACCAGAGTGGATGATGATACTGTTTTCCTGAGAAAGGCCAGATAGGTTTGGTTGAAGGATAAGGCCCTTGGGCAGCAGAAATCAACAGTTCTGTTTTGGACATAGTAATTCTGTGCTGCAAATGACACATCCAGTATCAACATAGGGTAAGCAGTTGGTATATGAATCTAGCACTCAGGAGAAAGTTGAGACTGGAGCTATACATTTAGCAATCATCGGCAAATAGGTGACATTAAAACCATGGAGACTGATGTCCAGGAAGTGAGTACGGACCAAAAAGGAAAGAGGGATGGAGACCAGTCTGCAGCTTACACCAACATTTAAAGGTGAGAAGAGACTGTTGAAGAAGGCTGTTTCTCCAGACAGGTCTGAAGAATGGCGATTCAGGAAAAGAAGGCTCTTCCTGTACTGATAGGTACGGGTCTTCGAGCTCTTGTGGGCACCTGAGCGTGGGGGTGAGTGATGACCTTTATGAGTCCTTCTCTGCTGGTAGATCATAATGAGCATTTGATACCAGCTGGTATGAGGAAGAAGCTCTGTCTCACATCTTAAGCTTTTGCATATACATTGTGAACAGTATGATAAAAAATACTTTTAACGAGATATGCAGATAGTAAATCCTGCCTTGAGGCAGGAGGACTAACAGGGGGGAAAGATTTCGATGCCCATCTGGCCATCACAGTCTAAGATGCTAAGAATCTTATGCAGAAAGAGACAGTGATACATCAGACGCTAGGCAGGAGCCCTGCTATTTCAGGAAAAGTGCCAAGACATCAGCCTAGGGAGGAAGCTGGGCCCCAGGACCAATGCTGGATAATGGTGGGCTATATGTGAAGAGAATTAGTTTTCTTTATTCTTCGTCTGCCTATAGCAACTGGGCTTTGTCATTTAGAAACAATAGCATCATTTTTTTTTTAGAAGTCAAGGGATATAATAAAACACTGCTCTGAATCAGCAGGGCTGAAGAACAAAGTCAGAAATATTATGTTCATCCAGCGTCTTGTTTAATTTTCATAGCTTTTTTGGCAAAAAATGTCTATTTATATAGATATGATTATCTGAGATTACCTGTGAATATATTGTTTGGGGAACACGCTGCACAGTTAATATAGCAAATTATGGAATTCTCCCTGTAACAGAGCAAAATAATCTGTGTCCCAATGGGAAGCATTTCTAGCAGTGTAGGGAAACCATTTCAAAAACTAATGATTCTGTTGTATTCTTCCCAAACAGGTTTTCTTACCTCTCAATGTCTCCACCTGGTTCTGAGTTAGTTTTAAGTGGCAGAACAAGTGACTCCCCTAACATTAAGGTTTGCTATGATCCACATTTCATGTTATAGAAAAAAATAAACTTTAATCACATGGCTATCACAAGTTTCAAGAGTTTATTAAAGCGCAAGATGCACAGAGGCATTTTGAAAGACTGGCATTTGGAAAAAGGAGTCTGTTTGTGGGTATTGGAGAAGAGGCATTGGGGAATAAAACAAATTTCAGAAGTGAGAAATTTGATCTCGTAAGAGAATTTCCTACATCAAACGAGGATTTAACGTAGGAAAAGTATTTTTATCTTTTTGAAAATAAGAAATGCCTTTGGTAGGATAAACTGCTGCCTTCTCAGAATGGCAGGTTGATTGTGGATAACTGTCATAGGAGACCTAATTTTGCCTTTATTATCATAATTTGCACATTTTCTCCTTAGGAGTTAAACCCACGGCCAACAATGTGTGCTAACTTGAACACCATTTGATGCAGTGACTTAAGCCTTAGGGGAAGTGGCCCCCAAAACATATTTTCCTGTAATAACCTCAAATATAAGCAATGGATAACCATGATGTTTAGTTCCTTTGGTTTTATATATGCTATAAACAAAACAACTTAAGATATGAATATTTTAAGTGTTTTTTTTTCTGTCTGGTAAATTTCTGGTAATTTTGGGGAAAAATTCAGAGTAAAGAGCAAATATGGAACTGCTGGAACAGAGCCGGGGTTGAGGGGAGTCTGCTCTCCTCTGAGGACCAACAGTGAACTGGACATCTTCAGACTGCCTGCTTGCTAAAGCGCGAGGAAGAGTGCTCTTGGGGTCTCCTGGCCTCACCATCACCTCTGTTGAACGCCAAAACCACGTCGGGTCTCTAACTCAGGCCCCCCTAGTGGTTCATCAGTTGGGAAACACCATGTGTCATGTCTGACCAGTAGGATTCTGGACACTTTCTTCACGATCACTCAGGGTTACTCAGGGTAAGCATGTATGAAGTATCCAGATGTATACCGGTCATATCACCCTAAATTATTCAACATAAACAATAATGGTAAGAGCTACTATTTTATTAAATTCCTTCTATGTCCCTGATGCTTTACTAGATACACCATTTTTAGGTATTTTCTCCAATCTTTACCACAATTCCACATGTTCTGAAGAGGAACGACTTGTGAATTTCAGTGGAAAGAAACACATGATTTAAACTGTAGTTGTTTTCAGCCTCAAACCAAGAGCCAAGACGCCAGCAATGGCAAGTTTTCATAGAAATCATGGTGTCCATCTGAGGATGGTGGTGAGGGAGGGCAGTGGACACTGAATGGCCAGCATCAGAGCTACATTTGCTCCAAGTCCTGCCTTTTTTCAAGCCCACCATAATGCTTGTCCTTGGTCTACTTACTACTCCATAGAGAATGCTAGTCTTATTGCTCAAAGTTCGGGCTCTACGTCTGTCAGGTAGCCAACTAGTGCTGGGGAGTAGGTCCAGAATTTCACTTACAGAAGCTCTGGTATGCCTCAGAGCCACTTGCGAGCTACAACCCACATTTCTGGGTCCTCCTGCTAGAACTTCCAAAGGTTGATGATGGATCTTATGCATTTGCGTTTTTTAACAAGCTCCCAGGTGATGCTGATGCCCATCGAAGTTTGAAAATTACTGCTGTCAATATTACGTTTGGGGAGATGATGTCTTAGGAATCTGAGTAAACATAATAAACTACTATGGTAGCTGGGAAGAAAAATTAACTTTATAAGGAAAGCATCAAGGGATGCCCATGAAATGTATATCTGGTCTGCTCACTTTTGTCAGGATTACTTTTTTCCTATCCCCATCAGTGCCTGCTTTCTATTTACTTCCATTAATATTTGGGTCTAGAGAATATTTTGTCAGATCTGCAGCAAGTATGTTATCTCAGTTACTTGAGTATAAGTTTCGTGGAAAGCATACAAGCTTTATAAATATATAAAAGACAGAAATTTTATTCTTAAAGATGATTCTGTATTTTTGTTTGTTTTCTTAAAGTGCTCATTGTAATAGGGAGCTGATCTGAAAATCTGTCCATCAAACCCGTCTGTTCTCTCCACGAAGGCCGTGGAGACCCCCTGGGAATGCTTTCCAGTCAGCACACTGAGACTGACCAGCTTTCTAAACTTGAGCAATGCCATGACAATGTTCCGCAGTGACATTATCTATATCTCTGGGCTGTCATCCTTCATAGGCCTGGTTTGTTATCACAGCCCTTGAAATTATAGGAAAGAAAGGGTCAAGAAGGCAAATGAGCTTCTGCTTCTGGGGCCAACACATGTAACCTACACATTTGTACCCCTGTAGTATACCCCTGAAATAAAGAAAAAATAAAAGGAATTATACATGAACGAATTCTCTACCTGGCACAGAAGTTCCCAGTGCGACGAACACGACGGCAGTCACAGAATCTTTCAGGCCGATGGTGCAGCCAAAGTGGGAAGCCAGGTCTCCAATGAAAGCTGTCAGTAGGCCGATCATGAGGATGGACACGATGAAACACGCCCAGCCGTTCCAGTATTCCGTAGGGGGCACGAAGGCGAAGAGAACCTTCCAGAAAACCGTCAGGAAGTGCATCACATAATCGAAACAGGAGGGCAGTTTTTCCTCCCCACATTCGTCGTCATCGTCGTCTTCCCCTGAAAAGAAAGGAAGGAAGCACATTTCATCACAATCTGTGCTACCGGGATCTTTCTCCCAATCTCTCCTTCTAGGCCTGTCATCCCTTCACTCTGAATGCCAGGAGGCCGTGAGAGGTGGGTGGAGCTTAGAGTTTTCCAAGAGTGAATCACATGTAACCAATTCATTACCAAGGTACTGAAATGCCTCCTCACCGTGGCCCATGGGCCAATGGCAAAAACTTAACCCCTACCCAGTCTGCTTACGTGCAAACAACACACCTTTTCTACTTTCTTATCACCTCCAGTGAGATTTGTCACTTCAGGGAAAGGAAAAGGATGTCTTCCTAAAGGTTGGAAAGCCCTGTGCCAGGCTGAGAAAGAAGCCTCTTTTGAAGAAGGACAACTATGGACAGAGTTCTACCAGGGCTCTTTTCTTCCAGCTTGAAGTCTAACGCTGGGGATTAATGGTTACATAATCACCTATAGGACAATGTTCAAACAAAGTCTGTAATCATAGTTCTGGGTCTTACATACTTCATCAGCTTTACTTCCTGTAACTATTTCAAATTCAAACTTCAGAATTATTTGCCAAATAATTATATGCCTAAAATGAAATTATTTGCATTTTTCCAAACCATAGCATTTTCTCCTACTTTTGTCCTTTGGAACTAAATATGCTCATTCCTCCTGGTACTTTAAAAAAAAAGAAAAAAAAAAAAAGAAAGAACTAAATATGCTCAGTATGTCCTAATCCCACCATTCTTATCCTCCCCACTCATCCTTTAAAACTGACTTCCTCTGTGAAGCTCTCTCTGCCTCCCCCAAACAGTGCTGGGAACTACTTCTTAGAGCTTCCACAGCCCCCAACACTTGTGATTCCAGATCAGTGGTTCTCAAAGTATGCTTCCTGCACCAGCAATACAGGAAACTTGTTAGAAATGCAAATTCTCAGCCCCACTGAATCAGAAATTGGGCAGGAGGATGGGCAGCAATCTGGGCTTGAACAATCCCTCCACATGATTCTGGTGCATGCTCAAGTTTGAGAACCACTCCTCTAAATTGTGTCCGTGTATCTGTTCACTTCCTTCTCTTCTCCAGTTACTTGTGAGTGCTTCCAGGGCAAGGATTCATTCATTTTTGTGTCCCTAATGTTTGTTGCCATCTCCAGTATGTGGACTAAAGTGGTTGAGCTTATTAAATGAGGGAATGCATGCATACATTTCTACTGATTTTACGTAACCACATAATGGCATGATATAGACACACAGATCACAATTTTGCCAATTAAGTCATACTACCAAAAAGCTTGCACAAGGAAATACATTGATCCCATTCACATGTTTTAAAATTAGGATATTGAATATCAACTTTTTTTTGATGTGGAAGCAAATTCATCTGTTTTTTTCACCATTTTGGAAAGAAGAACATCCCCTTGAAGACTTTGCTCACCCACTCTATCCTTGTCACCAGGGATCTATTTTGCTTGGTCCACCCAATGCAGCTGTGACTTCCCAGCTGACTATGAGACCTGAGCTAGCCAGGAAGGGACAAATATGTATGTTCTTTCTGAGACACGCTCCGTGGTGGTGAAGTCATCTGGTGCAGACCCTGATTGGAAAAACCCTCCAAAGCACAGGAGATTTGCAGGAAAAGTGCCTCTCACAAAGCACGAAAAGAGGAAATATCTGGATTTGTCATCTATGATTTTTACTGGAAGAGGGACGAGGCAATGGCCTTCTCTTCCATGGGCACGTGGTCAGAATTATTATGCAAATTATGTGTGGATTTTCTCCAGTGTTCATACCATAGGGTTACTACATCTTTATGATATCAACCTTGCCTGAAAGCAGAAGATACTTTTTAATAAAAGCACCTGTTATGAACTACATTGTGTCCTTCCCCCCTCAATTCATATGCTAAGCCCTACTCCTCAGAATGTGAACTTATTTAGAGACAGGACCTTTAAAAAGGTAATTAAGTTAAAATGAGGTAGTCAGGGCCAGCCCTAATCCAATATGCCTTGTGTCCTTATAAAAAGAGGAAATTGGGACACACAGAGAGACACCAGGAATGTGGGTGCACAGGGGACAGACCATGAGAGGACCCAGTGGGAAGATAGATATTGGCAAGTCAAGGAGAGAGGCCTCCGGAGAAACCAAACCTGTCAACACCTTGATCTTGGACTTCCAGCCTCCAGAATGGTGAGAAAATAAATTTCTGTTGTTTAAGCCACCTGGTCTGTAGACGTAGCATGGCTGCCCTAGCAAACTAACTCAGCAGCCCTTCGGCAGGCTCCTATGCCAAGACATGCAAATGGAGGAACAACCACGCAGTGTTTCCATTATCTCCTTCTTTCTTGTTTCCGTATACATGTCTTTTTCCTTCTTTCACTTTTCTTCTCACTTCTTTTTTACCCTACACATTAGCTCCAGGTAGAACTTAAGGTGAGAGCTGCAATATTCCAGGCTCATTTAAGGTGAGAGGAAGAAGAGAACCATGCTAATTCTTCCCAAGCCTCCTCTCCTACCCACTCCCCCTGCATGCACCCAGAAAAGTTTAGAAAAAGCACTAGAATTTCTAGTTATATTTATTTTGTATCGGTTCTTTTTTAGTTTCTCTCTTTGTGGACATTTCATAATTTCACAGGGTATATGATTAAAATAGTTTGGAAAACATTACATTTTAATTAATCATTCATAGAAACACAGACTATTCTGCCTCTGATTCTCTACAAAATTACTTGATTTGGGGTGTCTAAGTCTCATATTTTGAAGATGAACAAGAAAACAAATAATGAAGATTCTTAGAAGAAATGACACACAAATTGAGGGTAGGTATTATATTTGTCTTCAAGATGGAAATAATAACACCTTTCCCACGGGAGATATGCACAGGAATAATTAGATCATCTTTGCAAAGTGTTTGAGGATATTTCAAGGTAATGATTATCATAGCAGTTATCATTATTTTCTTTCACTTAGGATTGTTACTGTGCTTCTCCCTCATTATTTAATTGCTTAGTCAACATGCTGGGTACTAAAGTTACATTCTAGGTTTTTGAAAACAAAATTTAATCTTACCCTCTGAAACTGACTTCATGATCAGTTAAGCCAAAATAAGTGTGTGTGTGTGTGTGTGTGTGTGTGTGAGAGAGAGAGAGAGAGAGACAGACAGACAGACAGATAGACAGATTCAGAATTCCTCTTGTTATAGGCTTCCAGCATCACAAAAGAATCCTAACATTTAATGCTTAAGTCTGGAATGGGAGGCCCATCTGTTTTATAAAAGTGGTTTCCATCCTTGTCCCTGGGATCTCACTGCTCTTTATAAATTTTAATCCTTAACCCAGATGTAATTTAAATATTAAAAATGACCACTGGCTGCCATGTGTGATGCACAATTACCCTGTGTTGGGGAACGACAAAAAAATATTATATTCATCCATCACCAACTGGGCTCTACTTAAAAGTCTGCTCCTTGCAAAGAGTGGTAGAATATTAAAAAAAAATTCCCAGGAATATCTTTTATGTGACATAAAGATGATAGTAATCCACTGGTTCTGTGGTTCTATATGTTTGCCAGCTCAGGGTTACTGGAGGCTATGTAATTCTTTCAAGTGCTTTCTCTGCTTTAGCAAAGAAACAGACAGGTTGGTGGGTTTGCTTTTATAGGATCCCAAGTAAATTCTTCTTATCTCAGAATCCTTCTTTTGAGCTTTATGGATTCTACTAATGGAAAGATAAGAAACAAGCTATATTCTTTTAATCCCTCCCACAGCCTTTTAAATAGCTTTGTTGATACATGTTGGACTTCCTAAATATAACTACCAAAAAAAAAAAAAAAAAAGGCAAATCATAAAAAGTGCAGATAGCAGAGAGAGCATCACTTCCTCTACGGATGAACAGTACTTGCATTGCCCCTGCTCTGAGCACGAGAACAAGGGCATCACCAGTACAATTGATCCTGAAAGGCAACTCCTGGGCTTGGCACCTGCAGATAACGTATCTTATAAAGTAAAAAGGTGTTTTCTTACATCCCTCCCTAGGTGCTCAGGGTTTGGCCTCAGGGAGAGCTTTGAGAACCAGAAAAAGAGGCTGCTGGCGTGTGACAGACACTTGAGTCAGAAGACTTAAGTCAATTTCCAGTTCTGATAACTTCTTTTGGAGCAAGAGACTTAAACTTCCTTCACTTGGCAAATGAGTTTCCTAACTCTCACGGCACAGCTGTTGTGAGGACCAGAAGAGAAAATGAAATCCTTCAGAAAACTGTAAACCCCTTTATAGACAAATGTGCCATATTCCATTATTGTTATTTGTCAGAAGAAAGGCAGAGAATCAATACAACCTGAATGTCCTGATTTCACTGAATTTATATTCTGTTTAAATGGGCCATTATCACTAGTTTTGCTGTACTGCGTGATTTTAAGAAAAGAAAGAAAGAAAAACAGAGGGAGGAAGCATAGTAGGGTGTCTACCAAGTGACAGGCACTGAGCTGAATTCTTCCACATACTTGATCTGATTTCATCCTTATGATAATCCTGCAAGGCAGGCATTATTAATCCCATTGTGCATATGAAGAACCTGAAGTTCAGAGAATTTAAGTGACTTTTACAAATAATCATGCAGTCGCTAAGTGACTGAGTTGGGATTTGATCTAACAGCCCAGGGAATGTTTTACTACACATGATGCCTTATTGAAGCAGGTTGAAGAGTTTAGCATCGACCACATATTGGTTCAAAATTTGAATCTGAGAATTCTTTTAATGCCTGGCGCTATACAGATATAATGCTGCCTTTTTTAGGACTATGAAAAGATAAACCATCACACCATCAATACAGTCATATCTAATATTTTCTAGATATGATTGATTTTTTTCTTCACAGAGCCAGTTATAAGCTCTTCCTGAAGCCCTTGTGGACCAAGTAAACATGGGAAACAGGAAAAGCAAGTAAAGGGAAGACATCATGGCTGTAATCACTTTGGAATCTTTTTTAATTTTAATTTTTTTTTTGAGACA